CTCAGACGGAAAGCACAGGAGCTAGTTGATGAGGCCGCGAGGTACAAACTAGACACATTTGAGCTCTTGTCAACGAAGTACCAGGTCTCTGGAATTCTGAACCTTTGCGGTTGTAAGATGTTCTACACGCGCGCTCAGGCCGGTATTTATGTTCTGCTTCTGGTGGAATTCAACCTGATTGAAAGAATCATTGAATGGTAGCCTGTCAGCGTAAGAGTGGCGATCCTTTGACTGAAGTTACATCACGTTAAAGCTTGAATAAAATAGCTTCCTTCCGCAGAGGTTCGGAATTCTTGAACCCTGGGACTTCGTTGACCAGAGCCCATGTCAAGTCGATACCTTGTGACCTCATTAACTAATTGTTGCTCTTTCTCTCTGAATGGAGGAGATGCTCTAATTTTCGATTTTGAAGTTCCACTGTCGGTATCACTCCCGTGGAGCGTTATATTGTCTTGTGTCTGTCAGACCGAGGTTAGTTGCTGAATGATATTTTCGTCGCCTACATGTCGATTTTCGGCAGCCTTTACCGTGCTGCTATGCACCCATCTGCCTGAAGGCGTGAAGCAGGTTCTTATCGTCGACTGTTCGTAGTTTGCCTCAGTTTCCTAACAGTCTGCCAAGCTCTTGGTAACCCGCTCGACGAGCAAGCCCGGTATAGCGTTCGATACCAGAGTACCGTGTGGTTACATAATACAGGTAGGTGAACTCGTTACAATCACAAACTCACTTCTCTTATTCAGGCTTAGAGCCGGCACCGGTAGAGTTATTGAATAATATATTTCTCCATACACACTGACCTGAGTTTGTAAAAGTTATGAACGGGTATCATTACTTTCGTATACTTCCTTATGGTTTACTCATTGTGACTTCTTTGTTTGGGCATTATTTTACGTGTCCTTCATGTAAAATGGAAATATTTTCCTTGAAATTCCGTTCACGTCAGGCATTAACTTCAGCACTTGAAGGCATCGGTACCAAAATATGTACGTAACCTTGTGACAAGGTTTAAATCAAACTGTCACGTGTCACGCGTTATACCTAGTAATTCAGAATGCTGTTTTGCGTTTAAGCTGCAAAGTTTAATCCCAGTTTTAGATTCTGATGTTCCACTCTGTTACTTATTGTTCTGTTCTAATGCTATTATGAAGATTGCGTGATGACAAAACAATTAGTAAAATCTTCGTTTCAAAAGCGGCTGGCAACCATTTTTCTTATGCAACCTGCTCCTAATCCATTGTTTCTGATCTTGTCGACCTACCAGAATTTTTCAGAGAAGTGCCAAAAAGTCATTTCTGATTATGCAAAGTAATTATTTTCAGGTCATCCATATTTTGTTGGTGTTCAGTTTCATCCGGAGTACTTGTCGCATCCGCTTAAACCGAGTCCTCCGTACCAAGGCCTTATCTCGGCGGCTTGTGGTCAGCTTGAGGACAACACGTTACACGCCACCGATTCTTCTTCGTCACTTCACGTCGACATGTTACAACAAGAAGGCCATTCAAAAGTATGCAGCGACATGGAACAAATTATAATGGAGAAGATTCTGAAGCCGAACTGCCAGAACCATATGTTTACAGAATCAGAAGACGTCGCGGTTGTTTCATAGCGGAATGCAATCTCAACACGAAGTTATTTTAATTGTTTTTGTGACTAATGACATTGATAATCAATGAAGTTCAATGTACTGATTGCTGCTGTTTGTCTCATGCCTTCTTAACTGCATCTTAGGTTCTTAACGCTATTCCGTTATTGTTTCAGTTGCCCTTGGCGCCTCTCTAAACGGCTCAACTGCAAGATTCCGAAAGCGTGCGTTTAGCGACAAGCTTATCAAGCTCACTTGCAGCTCTCGTTTTTTATACGTCATGCTTGTTTACTACTACTGAAATTTCGTTTTATAGTGAAAAGACAATTTTTTGTTTCGTTTCATAAGCATTTCTTTCGCTTAACATCCTTTAATAGACGGCGAAATTTACGGGCATCATGAATAAAACACAGTTGAATGACTAAATATGATAAACTGGAGGTTTTGAGTAAACCTTTTTGAGCGAGTAGAATAAATTGTTCTCTGTCAAAGAAGTTTTTACCTCTAAGGCTATGGGGTTTTGTATAAAAATAAGATTTCTGAGTTAAAGTTGAGCAACATGTTTATTTGATGAGATATCGGGACATTCATCTAAAAAGTAGTTTGTCTCTTGGCATAAAAGACAAAATCGGTTCTTAAGGTCGATTAAGGAATGCTTATGTACTGTCAGCATTACGCAAACTGAACTCATTATATTCGATCAGTATCAAGTTCATTAGCTTTCGATACCAGAGGATACTTGCCGATTAAGTGTACTTTTGCGCAGTATGAAAAGCTAATCAACGCAAGTTCTTCCTGCTACTCTTGAAAACTGCAGATAGTAAGTAACACATCAGTAACGTCATAAACATGCACAACCTGATTTCTAGTGGTCTGATATCTTTAAAATTCAATATGTAAGAAAGTCATGTTCCATGTTATTCGTCACCCAAAATCGAGCGAACAAGTCAGTTTGTAAATAACCAAATGTTTGTACTAGTACTCGATTAGGTGAAGTAAATCAAACTATGACCGCACGGCCTATGCTATTATGACACCACTAGAGTAACAGCACTCGTATGGGTGAACAGTATGGGTAAAATTGCTCTAAATTACCATTCTTCAGAGAAGGTTCACGTTTAATCAAAGACGGCATCGCACATTTGTGCCATTCTTCCGTATCTTTAACTCCGGATTATTTCATACATATTGCTGGTCTTCATCATCTTAGCGTAGTTAGGCTTTTGATGTCTAGCCGGATGTGTTGGCAGCAGTGTTTGTTGATATCATGATCTTAAGTCGTTTGCATAAGTGTCTATAGTTTGTAATTTCCACTGTATCACCAGCTTTCCAACACTTTCCTATAAGGCATCGGTTACTGCATCGTAGAAAACATTCTTTTCCGAAAGCTGATCTGCTCTTACGTCCATATTGCATGATGCCTTTCTGGTCGATTTCTGCTGTTTTCGATCCAACACGAGAAGCTAACGATTGAAGTAAATGGTGTATGCTGAATCAGTTTGTCTAGCAAGGTGAATTTTTTAAACATTTTTACGGGTTGCCTGCGTCCGGACGAGAATAAAATCATATCTTACGTGATCTTGTCATTTAACTCATGCGTTGAAGTTAGCGTTGCTGTATGCAATTCTTCCGTCGTTAAAACAACTGTCTCCATACCGCAGAGCAACACTCATCTGACGGAGGCAAGGAGGTAGACTAACAGTCGAAAAAAGCGAATTTCAAGGACAGTTGTTAAAGAGCCACTAAAAATGTTCGCCAATTTAGACCTTCGTTTTAGTCTGACAGGATATTCCTTGCTGTTGTAGGTGAATGTGCGAATCAGATCACGATTTCCGAACAGTCACTTTCAGTGTTGAAGAATATTGTTGTAGTCAGTCGAGATCCATTTCTCCCTCACATGATTTTCCCGTTAGGTGAATTTTCAGTGCGTTAGCCGAACATACTGGGAGAGTTGTGTCATTCTATCTCATGCCCGGATAAAGGTCAGTGTCGTTCGGTCGAAATATTTATGCCTGTTAATGAATTGCTTCTCTCTTTTTGGCTGCTGGTCATGAAATAAGAAGATGAATCTGTTTCGAACTCACTCATATCAGATGTTTTTTGTATGCGTGGTAGCTCCTGTTTTCTGTCTGCTAATTTTTTCGTAAAATCGCAAACTTATCCCTGCTGTGAAGCAGATGCATAGTGTCAGTTCATGGCGCGACGCAGTAATTGCTTCCGGTTTCCTGCCTGAGTTTTTCTCACGTCGTGCAGCTTAATTGGTAACGAAGGCTGAATAATCTATCCAATCTTATGCAGTCCAGATCTCCAAAAGCCAGAGGTAGCGACGACAGGACATAGACCATGCAAACAATTGCCTTCTACATCTCCGACATATAGAATGTCAGCTTGGCTGGGACAGCGTGTGCGCAGACCGTCGTCCGCTGCTGCTGTAGGCGGAGAATCCTTCCTTTCACACTTCACTGGTCGCACAGGAGCATCGCCGATCGAACATAAGGAAGTAATGAGGGGCAGTTCCGCGGTTTTTTGCGTTATTCGCCCGAGTGATTCGTCGCACACTGCCGTGTAGAAAATTGCTGCACGCAACGCACGTGTGTAACTCCTCGTGACTATTTTTATTCCATCCGTCGCGCCCCTTCAAAACATCGACGTTAATTAACTCGGTCGCCTCCAGCTAAACTTCAAGTACTCAGTTGACAAAGGCTGTATCGAAATAAAGTTACTGGATGACAGAAAACAGCTAAAGCTATCCTATTAGCGAGCATGATATTTCTTCCCTGCTGCGTACGAATATTCATTCGGTGATGAAAGGACTAGCCGGGAGGGTGGGAGCGACTCGTTGCCTCCACAGTTTGCAATCCTGATTCAGCAATCTTGGTTTGACCCGGCCATTGAAGATACAACTGTTACTTTCGCCAACTATGTTGTACACAGAGCTGATCGGTGTTCAAGAAGGTTCGTAGAGGTAGAGTCGCAACTTGGATTCATCGTCACTGGTGCTCC